TACAATTACTAAGAGTATTTATCATTAAAAAATAATATTTATGACGTAATATTAACGTATACACGTTATTTCTGAAAGATGTTTTCCTCGCACTATAATTCGATAATTGATCTCTATACAGAGTCGTGTATGAAAAATTTTCTATGTTCGGTCGACGTACTCGTAAAGGTCGGTCAATCAAGGTATAATAAAGTTATTCGGTAGACGGGAATGGCTATAAATTGCGCTGCACGTATTGAAGGTTCTAAGCAATGTGGCGTTGTAAACATTACAGAATGAGCTTAGTCCTCCATCTTGTGGTATGCCCAATATATTGACAATATAATAATCGACGTTATAAAAACAGCTCTGCCTTCATGACAATTGCAAACCAATCTGTCGAAAAATATGTTATCACTGTTGTGCGCTAAGATGTAACAGCGGTGTTCAGCGTCTTGTTCTTTCTTATGCATACGCAAACAATAATGTATCTATGGATTCATTTGTCACTTGTCTCAGAATATTGGACCGCCACTTGTGGTAGTCTGTGGGGTGGCTTATATATACCAGGACATAGACCTCTCTCATATAATATAAATAATATAGGAACGGTCTAGAAAGAGGGTTCATACCGATCATGAAAAACGGTTTATTAAGAAAGTTTATCCAAAACTTACCACTGTGTAGCAAATTTTGAAAATAATTCAATGATTAGTAGGTATGAAAGATTTTAAAGCTTTTGTTGCGTATGTTTTTAGTGAAAAACCTTCAATAATTATGAATATGCGGTTAAATCTATTTAATTAAGGTAACAAAAGTTATAATTTACAGGTTTAATTTGAATTGTTCATTATTAACTTATCGAACGTTGACATATGAACCCCTACTAAGGTACTTACGATCTACAACGATTCTAAATTATAAATGCATCTGAGAGTCAGATATTATAGCGGCAAAGCTCCCGAGTGAGTTACAAACCCAATTTACGAAGCTCCTACTTCCACTTGCAGTAAATAACTTTATCGACTGCACTGGTGGACATTGTACGGAGTATGTAGGACAAAGATTTTATTTAGGTTATGTATGTATGTCACGCACGTCCTCTGAGGCTGCGTCGACCTGGGGAATATGTTATTTAAATCATCACATGTGCAGTAGGTAAAGTATATACATACTATTGAATATTAAACAAATAACTTTTAAAGCAGGGAAGTGAATCACTTGAAGACGGTCTTTTTTATATATTCATAATAGTCCTATTTATGTTTAAATTATAAGGAAAAAAATTAGAACTAGATGGGCCAATTTATGTCGGTCGGATCAGCTAGTAAGACAATAAAATAAGAAATAAAATTTCAAATGTGTAAATAATATTATTTTGTCAGGTAAATTTATGTCCTATTATAATATCTTAGTCTCCAAGAATACATGTGAGAGATGATATGGGTGTTACAGTATATTCTGTGATGTCTATGGTGCCGTCAAGGAATAGGTGTCGCTTACCAATTTCCATCCCCTAATAAAATTTTATAGGACCTTTAAAAGAGAATGATTAACGTAGAGATGATCTATTGGCAGTATTTTTTTGTAAAAAATAAATTACTTTAATTCCTTAAAGAAAAAACCAGCAAATAATATGATGTAATTTACTATAAAACACAGACTAACGAAATTACAAATAGAAAAATAATAATAACTCCTTCATAGTTATATTCATTCGATTATGGAATAGTATGTCATTCGAAATAAGGGAATCGTCATCTGTCATCAAATATAGGCATCTTTAAGCATCGACTAAGGGAGCATTACTTATTACTATGCCGACGTATTATATATTTATATATTTTTTATGTATGTATTTTGTGTAATTAATATTAGTTTGTATTATTCTTTGTATATTCTTATCTTACAAATATGGTTTTGCAGTATACACAAATTGTATGTTTGCCTATTTTTATTTTAAATAACAATTTAATTCACTTGAAAAGATTTACTGGAAGAATCTCTTATTGGAGATAAGCTCGTCTTTGTACATTACATTTAAAATTAATTTTTCTTATCATTATGTTTGTGTATAATAAAGAATAATATGCGAAATAAATGCAGTCGGAATACTGACAGTTGTTACCTCGCTTGTTTGCTATCGCGGTAACCTCAAATTTGCCTTAGAATGTTTGAGTTTGGTTTAAGGGAGTGACTCTTCGCGTATGAGTATGTTATTTATGCCGCCACATATCGGTGATCCGTTTTATAGGATAATAATATTTTACAGTAAAAATTACTGGGTACTATGAGTCATTATACCAGTAATTTCACTTGTGCTTGTGACGCGTGTGTGACACACACCTTTGTGATATAAATATTATTCATATTATTAATTTTATTTATTTCGTTTGCATTTGGCCGATGTAAGGTAATTGCGAGTTTTAAAAGAAAGATTTTATGTGGCTATGTTACAATCGGTTCATCAATGTTATCATCATATCTGTCCATTGCTGAATATATCCTCCTTTAATATTCGCAATCTATGTGATCGCGATACGTAAATCGCCGTCATATAGCTCTAGTTTTAAACCTATTTTCATTATTCTTTTTGTAATTAATAGTATTGTGACGACTGAGGTTATAGTTTTTCTTTTCAAAGTAAAAAAAAACTGTTTAAGGTAAAATAATAATTAAAACTATTTTGAAATTCGATTCCGTATTATAAATTCTAATATTACCAGTCTAATGTATATACGCAATATCTTAATGTTCGTTGATGATTTTTGACATGATTGAAGTTGCTTTTTTCGTCAGACTAAATATACTTGTTTTTACTAAGTATTAGTAATAAACAGTAGTCTCGTAAATAAACGTAGAAACAAAAAAATCAAAGCGAGATAAAATAAGTAATGCATGTTGAACCGTTTCTAAAAACTAACGATAAATCAAATCTAATTAAAATCAGCGCGTGTGAACAGAGTTTCCTTAACATATCATGCAGCAAATTTCGTAATACATAGATACTATTTTTAATTTACGAGAATCCGGCCAAACAGAAATATGTAGGTGTTCTTAATATCGTTTCCATGAACATTCTTCGATACGGTACAAATGATACAAATTCATTAATCAAAATTTATCAGTTAAAATCACAATAAATACTTATCGTTTGATGTTTTATTTCATAGCTAACTTCGTTCGTAAAGTATTTTAAGTCTTTTTTGCATCGTATAATATAAAATGTGATTAAATGAACTTTTCCTTATATTTGACGTCTATTTCATATAAGTTCAATTTGATCCAAATTTGATTGCGTCAAATGTCGACCTGCTGTATTTATTGTTAGTTTCATTGAATTCAACTTACTTTACAGTACAAATAAGAAAATATGTTATAAAGTAGGTATTTACTTTCCGGTTAAAAATTACCTAATTTATTAATCGTGAATTAAATCAGATCGGCAGAATTTTAATATTAATCTTTATTTATCATTAATATTATAGTAAATGTATCTTTTTTTTCTGTATCATATAGTTATTTGATGAGTTATAACGATAGATCTGATGATTATCTTATTTTATATGAAAACTGAGTGTTTTATTTTTATGTATTTATTGTGATGTTGCAAAATCTATGCCCTACTCCTTTTTGTCACCAAACACTAGTAAATAATTATGTATTTTTCTAAACTTTTTTGATATAAATTTCACGTATTCTCATTTGTATTATATAAAACATTGTTACTTGGTTACCAAGGCCAAAGCATAGTTACATCAGACAGAGCAAGGAAAAAGTTGGTGTCGTGTCGTATCAAGAGGTGAAGGGACTCGCTGAAAATCGTAGCGAAGTGACAAAAAATCAAAACAAATAGGAATGCATAAAACATATATAAAAGAGGAAATAATAATATAATAACCTGCTAAACTAGACATAGTCGTTATAAATCTTTTATATTTACATATTTTTTTTCTTTAGTCAATAGTGTAGCCATCGCTAAAGCCTTTTAAATTGGTTACCAAAGCGGTGTAAATATGTAGAGATCGTACGCTAATATATAATTCAAATTATACACCAAATAATAAAAAAAATACTTCTAATCAGAAATGATTACAGTCGCTAACACGATTTACGTCATAAACGGTAAATCGTGATGTTTGTATTTGTATGTATACAAAGTGACGATGCCGGGCTCCATTGAAAAGAAACAGTGGTATTTATCATTCAGATTACTTTGACGTAAGACAACGAGTTATGCCATTCGTCTTTGCTATTATATGTTAAGGTACAGTATTATAAATAAATTAATATCTTTGACGTAATGATATCCATAAAACTCGTATTTAATACTTATGTATAATTCTTTAGATGTATTTCGCATAAATAAAGCCGCGACTTAAATTCTTAGTTTAGAAAATCGACGGTTCTCATAAATTACATGCTGTAAATGGTGTAGTCTGTTATAATTCGATGGGGTTTTTTGAACTATGTTTTACTATATGTCCTTCAATTGTGAACCGGTTTTGATAATTATTTTTAGATTCATTATACATAGTAAATTCCCGCTTTGTTTCCAAATAATATTGTGTTGCAATTAAGTAGCTATTTTGTGTCTAATTAAGATTTATGATCAAAGGTTCTTCTCCGTTTAAACAAAAAAAAAAAGTAGAAAGTACGAAAATCGGTTCAGATTTATATTATTATACCATACTGGTATATTGAGAACCTCCTACTTTTTGAAGCAAAGGAATTCAGTTTTGATATAATTATAACTCTGTGTATTTTTTTTTATTTGGACTAAATTCTTAATAGTTCTCGTAATCTTGTTTGTAATCTTGCAATTGACAGTTTTGCGATTGAGTTTTTACTATTTGACTAAAGTAGTCAAATGGTACATTCTCAATTACAAAACTAACTAAAGTTACCTATTGTGTTCCATACCATATCTCCTCAGCCACAGGTGGCTTGTAAGTTTGTTTGCCATTATTAATACTCAATAAAATTTACCTTGTGATTTACGTGATTTTTTTTTGTTTCAGGTTATTTATTATTTAAGGAATTTTGTGAACAAACGTCAGAAGAACCAGTGCCACAATTAAAATTTTATGAAGAGGTAACGAAATTTGTTTTTAATTTTATTTTAACACAATCTGATTAATATGATTATGAGTAAATGATTTTAATGTTCCGAATTACGAATAAACTATTATAGTTCCGTTAATATAAAGTAGAGATAAACTGTGCCTACTTATAGCAGATATGCTAAATACCGTAATTTGTTTAATGTCTACAAAATCATATATGAGAAGTTTCTTTCTCAGTTATTTTATCTCATATTTTGAAAACAAATCAGTCTAGTGACATTGTTTAGGGCAGGGATGGTCAATCTTTTTCCTCACGGGTTATGCCTATAGACGTAAGAAATCGTATTGGGGATTAATACCATTAAAAAAGTTTTTCTTTTCTAATATTATTACTTAGCAAAGTTGATGATTTTTGGTACTTTAGAATTCGTCATTATAAGTAACGTCACGTAAGCAGGTAGATCGCTTATGACCCACTTCCGTGTAAGATAAATAAATTAACCAATATAATTGCTATTGGCTGATTTATATGTCACAAGACCAACAAAAGTACATACATTGTTCTAAAGTTTTAAGTAGTAATCTGGTGATTTCCTAACGTTTAGTAAGAGCATGGGTCTCGTTCTCTTTTAAAAAACTATAAAAATGCTGAATAAATTCTCACTCCAGATGATTCCTAATTAGACAAAATGATGTAAAACTAACTTAACAAACAACTACATTGGTGTAAGTATGATTGTTAAATACCTATTTTATAGTATAATAACGACAATAGTGGACCTACCTACCTACCTACGTGGGTCAGAGTATACTGCGGACCGTAGGTAGGTATTCTCCGCACGTAGCCGTATAAAGGGGACGTGGGGGGTATAGCAGCCCGGGGCGTTGGCCCCCTTCTGCTGGTGTCTCTCGCCGCACATTACCATGTGCAGGGTAGTTGGGGGTGGTACTTGCCGGTGGTTTTCATAGGAACGCACTAAGGTTCACTTGTAGACTGTTGGCGCCATCTGGGCCGGTCGGCGCGGTCTTCGCCTGCCAGGTGAGACCCCATGGGGGGAGGCCCGGCAAACTGCCAGCGCAAGAGCGGCCCATGACGACGACGCCACGCGCTTCTACACTATGGGACCGTGTCTTCTTCTTTTGCTTCGCGCGAGCGGGTGAGTTCGCGCGCGTACGGCTTCGTCTCCGGCGGTCTAGCGTGCAGAGGCGCTATGCCTCTGAGGTGGTCCCATTTTGATGCGTCCGCGCGTTGGAACAGTCTAGTCGTTAGTTCTTTCACGTGTGCGTCCAGTGGCTGGATTTTGAGGTCCCTCTCCAGGGTGGCGTTTCTGACGAACTTATGCGCACCGGTCAGGGTACGCAACGTCAGGTGCTGTTGTGCTTCTAGTGCTCTTCTGTTTGTCTTGCTGACGAATGCGTACCACGCCGGCGCGGCATAAGTTAGACGCGGGCGGATGTACGTTTTATAAATTCCCGTCTTCATCTGGAGAGGGAGGTTTCCGACGAGTACCGGACGCAGCAGGTGCCTGGCTGTTCTAGCCTTCTGGCGAACCTTCTTGACGTGCGTTCCGAAAGTCAACCGGCGGTCGATTTCCACCCCTAAGTAGGTGGCGGTGCGGGACCACTCGATCGGGGAACCGAGCAGGCGTAGCTGTGGTGGCGTCCTTTTCATGTTGGCTGTGATCGCCTGTGTCTTGCGCACGTTCACCGACAGGCGCCATTTTCCCAGCCATTCTGGCAGGGCATCTAATACCGTTTGGAGTTTTGACGCCGCGTGCTTATTGTTGAGCGACGTCGCGGCGTAGGCTGCATCGTCGGCGTAGAGCGCCAGTGTAGTCTGCTCCGTGGTTGGGATGTCGTCGGTGTACTGCGCATAAAGCACAGGCGATAAGCAGCTGCCTTGCGGGACGCCCGCTCGGATGGGACGCTCACCCGAACAGGTTTGTTCAACCGCCACCATGAACCGACGATTCCTGAGAAATGAGGCCACCACTTGGATGAGCCTTCTTGGCATTCCTGTCTGGGTGGCCAACTTGTACAGCAGACCGTCGTGCCAGACCCTGTCAAAAGCTTTCTCCATGTCGAGGAATACTGCTACGGCGACTTCCTTCTTGTTGATGGCCGTTGTGAACGCGTGCAGTATCCTGATCAGCTGCAGGGTGGTGGAGTGCTCAGCTCTGAACCCGTATTGCTCTTCTCTGGGCTTGATGTATGTGTTTATGTGTTTGAGAAGTAATCTCTCAAACACCTTCGATACATGCTGCAACAACGTGATTGGCCGGTACGATTCCGGTTTCAATACGTTCTTACCGGGCTTAGGCAGCGTGATAACTTTGCCTATCTTCCATGTGTTTGGGAAATGCCCTGTGCGCATAATACCATTGTACAGGCGTGTAACTGCCGCTATAGTGCGCGGCGGCAGGTGGTGCAGTGCCGTATTCGTGATATTATCGCTGCCGGGGGCCTTCCGAGGCTTCGTTTTTCTTAATTCACGCTGCACTTGTCCCGGCGTAAACACCACCGGGTCTTCGTGTGGCGCTAGCGGCGGAGCCAGGTAGTTTTCAACGTATTTGACTACCATGGCAGCATGTTCGGTATCGGTAACCGGGTTCGGCTGGAACTGGCGTTCTAGGTGTTCGGCTAGGATTTCCGCACGGTCTGCTGCACGGTATCTCGGCGTCCCATCGCTCGCCAGTAGTGGTCGGACCGGGGGCTGGGATTGGGACAGCCGGCGGCATAGGCGGTGGATGCTATTCCAGTCGTCGCCGGCGTCTTCCAGTAATCGATCCCAGCTTTCCTTCCTGTGGGACTCAATGTCTCGCCTGATGTCTTCGGCGAGTTTGTTCAACCTCGTCTTGAGGGTGGGGCAACGTGTCGACTGCCAGTCCCTACGCAATCGGCGCTTCGCTTCTAGTTTCATCCTGGTGGCAGCCGGGATCCACTCGCGGGTCCTTGTTACAGGTCCCGGCTGCGCTGCGATGTCCATGGCGTGCTGTATGGAGACTGACAGGTTAGCAGCGAGTTCTTCGACTTCAGACGAGGTTGAGACTGCCGTGGGCGTGTTGTGCTCCATCGAGTCCCTGAATTTCACCCAGTCGATCCGGCGGCGTGGGAGACGCGGCGTCAGGAACGTCGGTGTTTGTGGAATAACCATGCACACCGGCAGGTGGTCGGATTGGATGTCCTCGAGGAGGACTTCCTGCGTCGGTTGGCTGTCTAGTCCTTTGTATAAGGCGAAGTCCAATACATCTGGAGCATGTGCTGAAATGTAGGGATAGTGAGTTGGAACCTCAGGGCCGAGCACGGTGATATCCATTCTCTCAGCTATCCCTAGTAGTGCTTTTCCTTCTGGCGTGTCGTTGTTGGAGTTCCAGGCCGTGTGTTTGCAGTTCCAATCGCCTGCGGCGACAGTGGGCAGCTGCGAATCGAAGATGACGGCGACGTCTGCAGCTGCAATCCTGTTCTGTGGTGGTTTGTATACTGCAAACACACGGATGGGGCTTCTATCTATGCGGACCGTACCTTGTCCACCCCTGCTTTAAACAATGCATGTTGTGGAAGAATGTAAATATTATATTTTGTTTTTTTATTTCACAGATAAAGTTATACGAAAAACAAGAATGCTTAGACGAGAGGCGGCGGATCGCAAGAGACATTTATGACAATTTTATTATGAAAGAACTGCTAGCACATTCACATGTAAGTATGAACGTACAAAACAGGGTATGCTCTTGACTATGAAAGGCGGATAACTTCCTTTTGTTTGATGTTTGTGTCAACACGACTTGTGTAGTTTAATACACAGAGATTAACGGTGTTGTGCTTCTATATCCTTTAACCTTTATATGACTGATACGTCCGCTATGGCTACGACACATTTTAATCATTAGGAATTTAGTTTATATTTCTATGCATGACATAGATATAAAATATAATTCAAAACGAGTTCTGTATCCTGGCGTTCTCCGCGTATATCAGGGTATAAATATTTTAAATTTTAATTCTGGATATGGTACATAAAAGAAAATATGCGATGTTTAAAAAAAATTGGTTAAATAAAATTTGGTATCTAGGTAGTCCATAGTTAAAAAGGAATAAAACACTCCGATGAATGACGAGATTTTTTGTTGACACAAGGGATTAAAATTATTTGAAAGTTGAACACGGAAATTACAAGTAGATATTATTCTTTGAAGAAAAATGGAACCAACACGGAAATAATACTCTATTTATCTATCTATCTAGTAATCTCGTTACATACAAAAAATACATACGCATTTAGAACTTTTTATAATTCTACGATAGACACTTATCCAATATCTTAGTTGTTACAGTTGTGTTTACATACACGATGAGTTTGATGATAGACAATACTCATGAATGACGGCAATAGAAACAAAGGAAATAACGCAAAAACTTGATGTTACACATCGCTTGTATAACGGACGATAATTACAAGCAATTCGAAACTCATTTAATGCTTAAGTACGTTTACTAGTAGCTAGTTACCAATGAATCAAGGGCCATACTGTGCATCCGGCCGGAGCGACGGTTGTTTGTATAATGAGCCTCGTTAGCGGACTCTTGGCTTGGTGCCCGCACCATCTGAACCTTCGGTAACAATCGTAGTCAATTCTGTTCAGCTATACTTGTAACATACAAAAAAAAATAGGCTAACGACTATAATGCTGGATGTAGTCATAAACAATTTGTCGAATCATTGCTTGTAATACTGTAAGACACCACTTGCTCATATTTCATTGAGAACGTTTCGATTCTAACAAGTACAAGAGCCGTTATCTTACGGATTAATTAGATTTGTTGGAGACGTTGATCATCATTACCACCAGTACGATAGAGTGAAATTTAATTTATAATTAAATCATAATTCTGTTCTAATTTTCTTCATTCACTATTAGTGGGGTCTTTTAGGGCGGGGTCTTTAAAATTTTAATATTTTATTTTGCAATCTACAAATTCTACGATATTATTTTTTGTTGTTATTAAAGGTTACTTTTTTACCAGTAAAATCTAAAATTACTGTTCCAGTAAAATATGATACTGGCAAAATTAATTATGTAAAAATTATAACAATTATGATTATGAAAGTTTGTGAATGAATTGTTGAATGAAAACACCTCTTGTTTGTGATTCAGTAAAACCATAAATATCTTGTATACGAATAGTACGCGATGTATTTGATGAATTTAAACGGTACTTACCTTGGCATACACTTTCTATCTTGATAATTGTATATCTATTCTTAGCAGGAATTTATTTTCATAACACTATTAGTTGAGGCGCTATTACGTACTAAATATTTAGTATGTGTTCAAATTATTATTAGGTTACAGCGAACTGTTGGTGCCGATAATCCATAGTGGTTCAAAATTGATATATAAGTAAAAAACGTACAGGTTAAAATTAATAAGAAAGTAAGGTTGCTGTTTTGAAAAGAGGTATTCAAAAAACCGATCTCTAAAATAAAAAAAAGAATATAAAATATATACTAAATAGATTATTTGAAAAAGTAAATTAGAATCGGTATTTTTCACAAGTAATAATTTATTATTAGACCCTAATTTTATTAGCCATTGAGTCTATACAAAGTTTAAATATCCAACCACGATGGATTTTACCGATTACCTATTATAGTTATATACGCATTTGGTTACCGATTACTTTCTATACATTTTTCCTCATTTTTTCGTCAAAATGTAGATTATCTGTAAAATCTTTCCAGCTGTGCTTATTGATCGGGCAGCGTTGCTTTTCCCACGAGACTTGCTACAAGTCCAACGACATACAAGTTACATCGCCCTATGAAATCAAATTGCAAAATTGCAAACTACTTACATTAGTTACGTCTTATTGTACGAAATTTAACAGCTTCAACAGAGAGTTTATCCTCATATCCTACAGCCTAAATGGTCGCGTACAGCGCGGTTTCAGAGATGTTTTCTCTCACGAACACTTAGGTTATGGAATGAGCTCCCTGTCGAGGTTTTCCTAAAAAACTACAGCATTGGGTACTTCAAAAGAGGGGTCAAAAGGTTTCTTCAGGGTCGGCAACGCGCGCGTTACCTTGGGTATTGCAGGTGTTCATAGGCTACGGTAACCACTTACCATCAGGTGGGCTGTATGCTTGTTTGCCACCTCAGTGGTATAAAAAAAAGCTTGACAGTAACACGAAACAAGTAGTCATATTTTGGTATTGGTTATATATATATAAATGTGTGTGTTGTGTGTGTGTGTGTGATCTTGTAAAACTCAGTATAACCTCATACACTTTTATTATTAACCAAAATATTTAAGTTTTCACATATATTTTAATGATTATGTGTTAAATCATCAATATAGTTCATAAATTGCATTAAAGCATATTGTGCTAATTTATTTTTTAAAGCTAAATATTTTATACACTTCTTGATCGTGTTATGTTTATTTTCAGGACTATTCAAAGGAATGTGTAGCACATGTACAAAAATATTTAATGAAGCATGAGGTGCCACCAAACCTATTTGAGGTATTTAAGATCTGTTTGTAGATACGAACAAAATGTTGACTTTTAAACTACTCGTAAATATACATTTTCTCATTCAGTAACTCGTCCTAAGTCATAAATGAAATTAGATTTTATGCTCACTAAATAAATTTGATTTTTTATGAAAAATAAATGGGTCGTATCACTGAAACCTCTCTAACGGAATGAACACCAGTGGTACTTATTGAAATGCGACTCGCTTTGATTTCAATTAAATTCAAAATGTTTCGATAAATCACGTGTTTTGTTTATATTACAGCCATACATTGAAGAAATATTCCAACATCTTCGAGGGGAACCATTTAAAAATTTCTTAGAAAGGTATATATCTATATCGTATTATTTATATATATGCACGTATATTATGTACGTATAATATTCTTAATTTCCCCAATTTTTTATCATTTTATGTTTTTTGTTTCAGTGATAAATACACAAGATTTTGCCAATGGAAAAATTTAGAATTAAACATACAACTAACTATGAACGACTTCAGTGTTCACCGAATTATCGGGCGGGGTGGTTTTGGCGAGGTGAGTTTTTAATTAATTTATCACAGGCCTCGTCACTCTAGAAATTCAGAGTTCTGACTGAAGTATAATGTTAGAGAGTTTAAGTAATAGTTTTGAATAACTGTTGCGTTTTTTTTTTATTTATAATATTGGAGTAGCAAATAAGTTAATGCCACCATTTGTGCCCTGCTATAGAATGAGCCACCCCTTCCTTTTCCGTTGGTGTTGTAAGAGGCAATTAAGGGAGGGCGTGGGATAGGTAGCAGCGTCCCTCTTAAAACATCTCTAAAAGCCCAACTACGGTTGCCAATCCGCCTGCCAAGCGTGACAATTACGGGCAAAACTTCCCTTATGGGGAAGGCTTATGTCCAGCGGTGGACAGTAAACGGCAGAAATAATAAAAATAATAAGTTAACAGTCCATCTGAAATCTAAGAAGTTCATGTCATAAGATTAGTGAGCTGCGGCGGATGCTCATTATTTTTATACAATAAGATTATCTTTTTACATAGTAGGGTATCAAAGGACAATAAAATACCCACAAAGGTGTTAAATTGTTTTCATAACCATCTAGGGTCAGATAAATGAAATGAAGAGAAATGAAACTTTAAAATAAATATGTGAGTAAATTCTGTACAATTAGTCGTGATGATGCAAAAATTAAATATTAGTACACACGAACGCAAACTAACGGCCCACTCCGGCTTCGCACAATTCTTTTGAAAATAAAATAAAACCCTTGTTAGTCACTAATAATTTAGCTTTTTATAGCAGAAAGTATTTCTTAAAATCGATAAAGTATTTTTTGAGTTAATACAAAAAAAAAAACATATTTCCCTTATGTAATATGTAATATTAGTAGAATAGTTATGTTCCTAACTTCCCACGTTCATTATATGTTGCGATGTAGAAACCGGTACGACATAAAATTTCGCCTTGTACACAGGTATATGGGTGTCGGAAGGCAGACACGGGCAAAATGTACGCGATGAAGTGTCTCGACAAGAAGCGTATCAAGATGAAGCAGGGCGAAACACTCGCTCTCAACGAGCGGATTATGCTCTCTCTAGTCAGTACCGGGGTAAGTACTGTTCAATTTTACCCTATCTTGCGGTCGCAAGCGTTTTTCCCGTATCTATGTATATGTCGTGTAATACTCCCAGCGACGTTGGATTCTTACATGGTCGACGAGATGTGAGTATGTCGTCTGTTACATTCACTGTGTGACAAGAAACGAGAATAGTCTCTGACTACTCCATTACAGGTTATAGTAGTCAGCATATTTATTTATTGATCAGTGTCAGGATCAGTACTGTTAAATTTTAATACTATCTTGCTCTCGCAAGTTTTCCCCATAACTGTGTATAAGTCAATGTATTATTTTTTCTCAGCAGATAACACCATTCGGAATAGTGAAATATATCAGCAGTAGAATAAAAAAAAAAAAACAATCTAAAAGAGCTTGTGAACTATCTGAATAAAGATTTATTTCTATTCTATTCGCTCATATTATCCGAATTTATATATAACATAGATTATATAGACAAATTATACATACGGCCGCCGTATTTTACAATTTTATCGAAGCGGATATTTAATTTTCGCATCAAAAACTTCTTTAATATATTATATATATATATTGTATATTATAATATACATTAATGTATTAAATGAATATAAAAATAAAAAAAAAACTTATTTTTAAATATTACATATTTTGATAAATAATATCCATTCTTGGACTTATTTAGCTTCTTTATTTCATGGTAGTCACTTAGCTATTAATTATTTAAAACATTGTCGGTTAACACGTCCTTTGTCCCCGGGGAAAGAATAGTAATCGCCACTGTCAAGGTGGAATATATAGATTTAGAGGTCACGTAGTCAGTTAAAATAGGGGTTATTTTACTAGAATGACTATACACAATAATATTGTACGCTCAGTCATATTTGAAGTTACGATCGCGTATTTATCAGTTAATGTCTAAGTCCATAATGTTCTTAATGATTTAGTTAAATACTTTTTATGTAAGTCACAAACGTAAGAAGTTCTCGGTTAAATATATATAGTTATGTAGAAAACGTCCACGATACCTGGAACTGTCCTCTGTTTATATTTTTTGTGACTACAATACGAGATTATGTCACCAACTCTGAACAGTTTTTAATTTTATTGCAATCAATTGGTGGTCTCATATAAATTTTGGAAGTCTCTCTTTGCGGAGCAAAAACTGCTTGTAACGAAGCAAAATGTATTTAAAGGTACACGATTCTATGTAAAAATGTGAACAATGGCATTAATTGAATTATGCATTTATGAAATTGGAGTATTTCTTTGCAGACCAAAAAATACTTAATAAAAATTATAGTTTAGACAATCTGACAATTTCAATACAACTAATGCAAAGTAGTAAAATCTTTCGCTTGAAAGTCAGGAAGGATTTACGATTGACAATGCGTACTTGACATGTGATGTAGAAGACGACTACAGCCTATACTTTTAATAGCTATGAATGATTGAATTTGACTGAAGTAGTCTTAATACCATTTTATGTCTAGTTCATCTCTTACATGTACATATACAAACGCGTATAAATTTATTGAGTCAATTCATATGTGCGTGTGAACCTTGTGTTTTCGTGAACGAAGCATTAGTTTATTTATACGGCTAGTAGATAACTAATAGGCGAACGCAATGGGACTTCAATGGATGACACTTGAAGGCATTCAAGAGTTTATGCTCTCCATGATATTGTAGATTGGTGTTAAAAAAAAACAGATTTCTTCAAGATATATGTAATTTATAAATTATCATCTTGTAACAGTATTATAGACATAGGGATTAGGGAGTAGGACTGAGGCACAGGTAGGCTCAGTGGAGATAGAGAATGAGTGTGGTTAAATTGAAATTAGTGTGACCTAAAATATGTTAAAAGTTGTAGTTAAAATATGTTAGTCGTAATTATTTACCAGAGGGAGACTGTACAAAAATACCTCTGTCCCGTTGGTGTTTCAACCGTGTAGCAGTTGTGTTTGCATGGCTGTTTCGCTTTGAAGGATGGGATATGTCAATGAATTTATAAGGTACAGAGGTATACCACCTTAGTCCCCAGGAATGGCAACGCATAAGTCGGAAGAGTATCTTGGATGGTTCTATAGACGACGGTTACCACTTTCCATCAGGTGACCTATCAGCTTATTTGCTATTCTAAATTGCATAAAAAACATTACATTTATATTACAAAAACACTTGTGCTTTTTCCACTTTGGCTTATCATTTTACTCGTATTGTCCATTAGTCTCTTTGAATTATTTGTCAGATAAATGGTTACGGATTCATTTAAAAATCATACTGTACTGTTGTAGGTATGTAGTATTGTAGTGGTATTCTATGATTTTTGAGTTTAATAGAGTTTCAGTAGGGACCATTTACCGACATTTCTTGCTAGTAAATATTTACGTAATTCATCTACTTACAAACAAGACTTTGTTGGAAGGGACTTAACAGGTTTCGGAACTGGAGTGGATATAACACGCTCATATCGTTAACATCGCGCCATTTACGCTTCGTTTAGAACAAAGGAAATGCGATTTAACCACAATAAAACCCCGCACAAAACGTTTTATACGTCACGTGTTTCATATTTTCTCGAAGCGGTTTTCGACACGAAAAATTTCAAATGTTTATAAAAAACTATTTCAAACTCTTGTAAATTTAATAAATTTATTTACAATTATAATCTAAAATATAAAACAGTAACTTTTACTGGTTACCAAAATGAAAAGGTTTATAATTCGATTGGCTGATTGTTAATTATTCATAAATAATATTCTTACAATTAGCAGGGTTTAGTTCTGTGTCGATTCCTTATAATTTTTATCACGATTTAAATTGCTGTTTATTTTTGGAAAATCTTGATTTTCGTACAAAATAAACTGTGCTGATTTAACTTACATTTTTTCTTTATTTTGACGGAAAGTAGTCACTTTTCAAGCAGGCGTGTATATTTTTTTTATTCTGTGACACTGTAGTCTGATATATCTGTTTACAACAAATCATTCCCAGATTATACTATTTGTCATCAGTCGCGTATCAATTGTCAGAAAGATAATAACTACAAATAAATATGATATTGTTATCACGGCACTATTTATAATTACGAATGAAGTAATGAATGTTCGATCAAATAAAAATTTTAATTATACCTATAGGTTTTTGAAATTGCTAGCAATTCAAATGGGATTGTCAATATGAAGATTTGTTATTTTTAAATAAAATATAATAATTATTTTATTATTAAACGTAAATAGGCTATTTGTGATTTCTGGAAACCATCTTAAACAAGTAGTGTGTAGGTGTTTTAGATATGTTTTTAGTTATTTACTAGTCTAAATTATCTGTCATTGATTTAGACAGTCAATGACAGATGTTTACTTCCATATTATGTTATCATATATTCCAGATCGTTTTCGATCACGTAATAGTAGTTAAAGTATGATAATTCTTTGGGGGTTTTTTATGTATATATATATATATATATATATATATATATATATATATATATATATATATATATATATATCTTCAAGAATGCCTAATTTCTAAATAATTTTGAAGTTATTAGATTATATAGTAAACTATCTATTCATATTCTACAGCAAGGTAATTCTACAACGTCAACTTGTAACATTCTGGTATTTAGTTTATAAAACAGTAAATGGCGCCTACGTCAGCCGTAGACATACGAATGATGTACAAAAGAATTGTAGAGTTCACACAGTTGACATAATTTTTTTTAAAATGTATCATGAGTTAAATGCGGTTAAAATTTATGCTCCAATTAATATATCACGCTCATTTTCTTATAATTTTGCAATATTGGTTGTAAACATAATTAATTTTCGTATGATAGTAGTAGTAGTGGTGTAGACGATAGATGTTTCGTTTATAAATATTATATATTCTATACAATAAAATTAATGCTGTGTGCAAAGAAAAACAAATTCTTAACATATCGTATAAAAATTTTGGGCAATTGACAACTGCTTGGGAACTTTGAAGTCGATTAAAAAAGAGTTGGTCGTATTGATTTACACTGAAGGTATTCAATGTCATTCCTAAAGTAATTATATTGGAAATGTGTTTATTATATATAATCATCACTTTATTTATGTATCCAATTGTATATTTAATGGCAACAGATATTGTATTATTTTTTCATTTAACTTATTAGAGAGTGACGTCATGTCTCATAATATCATGTATATATCTAATCCATTTTCATGCAGTAGGTATAGATACGAATCTATTATACTCTATAAATTTTCCAATAGATAATCTACTACTTCAGTTATATGAAGATCAATGAGGATAAAATCTCGAGTTTCAAGGATAAAAAAGTTCCCAACTATAGAAAACGATGCTGAGTGCAACTTTGTGTTAGTAATGAAAATGCTTCAGTGCTTTGAATTCCCAATGAATATATTTATTCAATTCAATGAAATAACTAATATTTTCATTATGTGCACATTATTATTATAAAATATGACTAAAATAAACTCAATGTTGACTTATTATATCTAAATTAAATATATGGTATAGAAAAATGTAGGTAATATTTCTTTATTGCACTCTCTTAGTAAAAATAGGTAATCTAAAAGATTAATACTCTCGGGTTGGTCCCGTACAAAACATTCAGATAATTTTTTTTCACAAAAGAAAATATGTGTTGTTGTTGCTAATGTCGCGGTAATCAAAGTTAAAGCGAAAACATTAGCGTTATAACGAAGCGCCTCTTAACACGTTATAACCCATCTTATATGTCACATCTATCTTATTACCTATATTGTTTCAGAATTCATTGAGCGTAAAATTCTGAACAACCTGCCAAAGTATTTGTTTGAAATCAATAAATAAAAAATTTTGATAATGTTTACCTTTTTTCACTTTCGGTATTTTACTATCCTTAGTAGGTAAGTATAACAATATTCGTTATAATACAAAATTAGTCGATAACCTACACCGATTGCATTTCGTTCAAGATGCACCTTCAATAGGTACCATCCATCCACCACCACCAT